CTTGGAATGCAAGTTTTTTTTCATGTTTTTTTCAAAAGGGGTTGGGGGTGTGAGTTCGAGGTGAAGTAGAAACACTCAGTCTAGCAGGAATCCACATCGAAGTTCACGTCGGAGCACTTAGCAGGAACTCACGATCCACGGGCGAACCACAGATCCACGCAGCACTGATTCACGAAAGCACCAACTCACAAAGTACGAAGCACCAAAGCACTAAGCACGGAGCATGGAGCACCAAGTCGCATGGACCAATGATTCACAAACCATGAAGCGCGCAGCACCATGCACCGACCCTAACAGTTCAGATTTATGCGCGATATGTCCGGAAAATGAACCAGAAGATATGCTACATTGTCTGATACGCTGTAGAGAGGCGACGGAATATTAGGCGAGGGCCTTGGATCTTTGGGACTCCCTCTTCTCGACTCCCCTCCCTGAACACCCCATCCAACTCCTTTTACGGACTAACATCCCAGCTCAATTCCACAAGACAGAGAAAACGTGGTTCGGATCAGAATGATCAGAAAGGTAACACTGTGATCCATCTGGAAGGAAAGGTGCTGCAGAACGGAACCATTGAGGGACTCTCAACTCCAAGGGAGAAGGTATGGGCGGATACAAGGACCTTGATTCAGGCAGAGATTCTTTGTAAGTGGCATAAGACGAGAGACTCCATGCCAGATGACGAAGAGGAACAGAGAAGAATCAAGGCAAAATTCACTAAGGTGTGGCTTGCAGGGGGCAAAGTAGCAGAGATAAACGACTGTCGCATACGGTGGAAAGATTGGCACAACTCAGATGGCGATGGCAGAGATCCCAGCCAGAAGATGGACAAGATCTATCACAGGGCACATAATATTGTTGAGCGAATTCCGATATTGCATCTTCCTTAGCGTCTTTTAGCATTTATCTGACAGGTTCCTATAGTGGACCTGAGAGGAAAGGTGGAAGTAAGGCAAGCTGAGAGTCAATCCTCCAGGATCCTGGAGTAAATGCTGGTCAGGGTTCCTTCGGCCAGACGGAAGGAAGCGCCAGTGTGTTTCTATGATATAATATACATATATATTACCGGGCAGTTCTATTTGACGATATATGTTCTCTTCTCTCTCTCTACCTACGGTTTTACCGGGCAGTTCTGTTTGTGACGATATATATGTATATCGTCACAAACAGAACTGCCCGGTAAAACCGTAGGCAGAAAGAGAGAAGAGGACAACAAACGAGGGGCTGTGACAAACTGTTTCGTCGGAGTTTCACCGACTCATCAGGAGGCTGAACCCTCAACAGTCTGCAGAATCCCCTCACTGATTACGCTGTAAATGATAATCTACCTTAACCAAAATCAAAGTAGACTATCACTCACCCACACCAGATGGAAAACTCTACAGACTTATACATATATACATATATATATATATATATATATATATATATCGTCACAAACAGAACTGCCCGGTAAAACCATAGGCATATATATATATATATCGTCACAAACAGAACTGCCCGGTAAAACCATAGGCATATATATCGTCAAATAGAACTGCCCGGTAAACCGTAGGCAGGGAGGGAGAAGAGGACAACAAACGAGGGGCTGTGACAAACTGTTTCATATACATATATATTTGGGGGGGTGGCGGGGAGTATTTGTGGTCATCAGTTCTTGTCCTCCGGGAGGGGGAAGAGCATCCGTTAAAACTGGAAAGGCGCAGAGAACATTACCCAAAGAAAAGGAAAAAAGAAAAGGAAAAAGGAAAAAAAAAACAAAAGTGGTCGTCAGTTGTTGAGGCAATCAATATGGTCCTTCTGTCATGTACTCGCTGCGCTTTTTTTCTCTCCAGACTCCTTATGTTGATTTTGATGCTTGTTGTTTTGTTTTCCCTTTTTGTCAGCCTTGTGAATATTTCTATTGGAAGGTTACACATTGGAGCACGTGCACAGGATCTTGCACGAATGGGACGAGGAGTCGAATGGCAGAGGTTTGTTTTCCCAGCTCATACTACAGCTATCTTCTCGGGTCTTTGATGGTTCATCTCATGGAGTGTGTTATTTTGATATTTCTGCGCATATTCTTGCCGTGGTAACACGGTAATGTGCGTCTGCGTTCAGTCATCACAGAGGTCGGACTCTGCGCTGACCTCTTTGCTAACTTGGGTTGCTTTTCACACCACACACAGATGCTTGTGCTCAGTACAGCACTTCTTCTTCCCCCCCCYCCCCCCCCCCCCAAAAAAAAAACAAAAAAAAAAACAGGTCCTTATGGACAGAGAAGGTTGCCTGAACAGCATTGATTGCTCCGTATTACAGTGTAGTGACTGTCAGCTTGCCCTTCTCATGTACTGTATTCGTCTCTGGTTCGATCTGTGGACCTGTCAGCTTTAGCTATCCCCATCTAGAATCATGAGAGTGTCCGTCGTTTCCCATCGTGTATCAGTTCGTGAGTTCGTTTAGTCGGCCCCATCCTTTCCTTAGCTTTTGTTGTGGCACGCTTTCTGTCCATCAAGATCTCACTGGGCCCTGGGATCTCTCTGTCCAGGGGCTCTGGCTCCATCATGTTGTTTGTGAATTATGTGGGGCCTTGGAACTTTTTAGTTACGTGTCATTGATGTCTGCTGCATGCAGCAGCGAAGCGCGCAGTCTGCAGGCAAACACAGTCCGCAGCATTCGCATCACACACAGCCTACACGAAGTACATTAATGTCTGCCACCGTGTCCTTGATTAACACCTTTTTTTTTTAATTAAAAAAAAGACAGCTTGCGATAGATAAATAATCAGTACAGCACTTCTTTAACATCAGGAGAGTGAAAGAAACATCATTTAATGATTTAAACCGTTTGTGCGAAAACACTTCGCAGACTGTCTGTCGGAAAGGACTTTCTATCTCACCTACTTGCAGCCTGGTTGGGTGCATCTGGCCCATCTGGGTGTGGGAGAACAGCCCAGGGGCCAAGTCCCACTTAGCATTAATTCTTGATTTCTGACCGTTGATCGCCGTAATCTACATTCAGAAATTGTGAATTTCCAGTAAGTGGGACTTGGCCCCGGGAAACCTGGCATGGTCGAAAAATGCAGCAACAATTTACAAAGAAGGAAAGGGGTATCTGGAGAAAAGAGTCATTGAAGAACTTCAATTCTCTTCCGAGTTCCGATCATTGTATATTTTAACGGCACGGCAACCAAAAGAGTTGAAATTTGAAAATCGTAGTAAAACCGTATGGGATAACTTGTACTTTCTTCATCTTCTCCTCTTCCTCTCCTCCTCCATCTTCCACCTTGTACTGTGAGGCCCCAGGACTCGGTGAACGCCTAAGAAGGCTGAGAACAAAATGTGACTGAGTCCACACCGTAGATTCAGTCACATTTTGTTTTCAGCCCTTTTAGGGGCTCGCTGAGGCCTGGGGCGTCACAGTACAAGGTGGAAGGTGGAGGAGGAGGAGAAGAAATACTATGCAATCGCATACGACACTGATTTCCAACTTCCCTGCCCCCAACACAAGCAGTACCAACATGCGTTGGTTCATCAGGTGTGCCATCGACGCACGTGTTGTCCGCTCCTGGATGTCCAGATTCTGCCTACAAGGTGGAAGGTGGAGGAGGGCAGGAAGGAGGAGAAGAAGAAATACTACTAAGCGATCCCGTACATCACTGATTTCCAACTTGTCGTGCCCCCCCAACACAAACGGTACCAACACGCTTCGGTTCATCAGGTGTGTGCCACCGGCCCACATGGTATCCCCTCCTGGCTGTCCAGATTCTGCCTGCCTGGGCTCGAGAGTCCAAAGTGAGCCCAAGCAGTGTCAAGTTGCCAATACCTCTCAAGAGACAATCCAGTAAACAAGGTCTGCTCCAGCGGCACAGGTTCAATCCACAATGGGTAATCACAGGTCCACTCCTGGTAGGTTCATTGACCGTAATTACTACAGCTGGAAGACACAAGGGGTGTGTTATGTTCGGGGGAATGCCTGAAGTGCATTTTCGAACTGTTTTCGTGACTGCCTCGTAGTTACCCCAAGAAAGAAAAGGTCGCCGCCTTGTCACCTACCACCTCACTCAGCGTGTTTGATGCTCCTCTCCCTGAAGCCTACTATTATTTGTCAACCTGCCCATCCTCTGCCCCGAACACCCAGAATTTTTATTTTATTTTTTTAAATAAAACAGGTCCTTATGGCCCTGGCTCCATTTCCATTCTGGGGAGCATCAGTCCGGTTCCTATTCCACCGGCAAGTCAGAATCAAATGTTACATCCGGACATGCACTCACGCTTCCTTCCGTCTGGCCGAAGGACCCCTGATCGGCATTGATTACTCCACCATCGTGGAGGATTGACTGTCAGCTTGTCTTGCTTCCATCTTTCCTCTCAGGTCCACATCATGAGCCTGTCAGATAAAAATAAAGAGCAAGAAAGGTAAAAGAAGTTACGTAGGCTGCAGAGTTGGAAATTCCCCTTCAATATTATGTGGCCAGTGATGTATCTTGTCCGTCCGCTGACTGGGAACTCTGCCTTCTCCACCTTATGCAAAGGTCATTTATCTCTGCGACTTTGCCCCCTGCGAGCCACACCTTAGTGAATTTTGCCTTGATTCTTCTCTGTTGCTCTTCGTCATCTGGCATGGAGTGTCTCGTCTTATGCCACTTGCAGAGAATCTCAGCCTGGATCAAGGTCCTCGTCTCCGCCCATACCTTCTCCCTTGGAGTTGAGAGTCCCTCGATGGTTCTGTAGCACCTTTCCTTCCATATGGACCACAGCGTTACCTTTCCGATCATTCTGAACCATGTTCTCTCTGTCTTATGGAACTGGGGTGGGATGTTAGTCCATAGGAGTTGGATGGGCTGTTCAGGGAGGGGGGTCGAGAAGAGGGAATCCCAGAGATCCGAGGCCCTCGCCCAGTATTCCGTCGCCTCTCTACAGCGTATCAGGCAATGTAACATATCTTCTGGTTCATTTTCCGAACATACCGTACATAACTCTGAACTGTCGGGGTCGTTTTTACTTCTTCTGGTATGCAGCCACTGATGAACCGGCAGAGCCACGTAAGAGATGAGCCATTAGAGGCTTCTGATTTTGACCGGACGGATTGATTTGAATTTTTTCCATGGTATTTGTGGGATCAGACTAGCGTCATGGCCTAATAACTTGCCATCTATTCTTGATCGTTGGGTCAGGATCCTTTGTCTTGAGGAGCAAGTTGTATCCCAGTTTGACTGAGTATTCCTGGATGGGGACATTCGTTTTGAGACTTCTTCTTCTATCTGGAGTCCAAGCCCAGTCTGCTGGATCAAATTCCAGATCTTGAATCGCCGTATCTATTCTTGAAGATTGTTTTTGGCCACGATCCCAACACTCTTACTTTTCTGAGAACAAAAGGGTTTAGGACTGTTCTTTCCACCTCCTCATTCAGGATATATGGGGGACCTTGCGTGGAAGGGGTAATTGGAAAAGAGGTAAACACAGCCAGGGTATCCGACCCTTGTTGTTTATGGGAGAATTGATATGCCTTTGAGGGGGTTAAATCTTGCACCCTCACTCCCCATTCACCCGATTTCCAGGAAGAGGTTTCGCTCAACAGCTCCTTCCAGCCTTCTGGAATGCAGTTGATGATGAATTGTAAGTTCTCGTCTTGTCGGTGACATCCTTTGAGCTGGGGGGCCAGTTCCTAACACCCAGAAACTTGTTCTTTTTTTTTTCTATCGTTTTTTTCCCCCAGAAACTTTGTTCTATCAAGTGATTCCTGGGGTTTGGGTGATCCCCACTCCCAGTTTTGTTAGCTACTGACCCAACCAGTCTGCAAGGAATGGTCACCGGTTGGCAGTCGGCACAAGTGGTCAGTATCAGCGGTCAGCTTAACGTGTGAGATTCAACAGAGTGCTAATACGCACGACACCAGCTGCGGGTTGGAGGAAAGACAAGACCACACAACACAACTGGAACATGATGAAATGGTATAAATCCAAGCACAGGAATTGCGCATTACAAGATATGGCGATGCACAAGCTGGTGAAAACCCTGCTCGAGGTCGAAATCCCACAGTTCTGCTCTTGACAGGTTGGCCAAATTTCACTGAAAAATTGACCGCACACGTGTGTGGGCACTTCTCACTCGACCACACAGGCCTAGGAAATCTTGCACTTGACGAAGATCCAGCACTCGTTCTGTCTAGTAGTGATTTGTAGTCCTCCACCCCCTACTGAAAATGGTTTTTGCTCTGGGATGTGTCGAAATGATTTATAGTTGTCCTTTCCTACTTGTGGGACTGCTTGTCTATGCGCTGCTTTGTCATGGGGCAAGCTCTTCTACATGGTGCTGTTGTTGCTTTGTATAGTTGTTTGTTGGATCGAGAGCGTTGTATACGAGTCAGTTGATCTGTTGCCAGAGGACTAGCATCATCCAGCAGGCTCAAGAGTCAAGAGCTGTCTTAGCTGAAGTGGAAACCACCTACTGGTATAGGATGCTCTGCCACCTGGCATGGTTCAGAAATGGTTGAACATGCGTGCATGGGCATATGGGAGTAGAGGAGTTAACTGTGCTGTCGAACTGAAAAACGACTAACTTTCTTCTATTTTCAGTGTGTAGATGAACAAGGGGAACGTTCAGATGAGGAGAGCTGCTCTGGTATTGAAAGACCTGCAACAACTATGTCTTGCATTCCGGGCGGATGCACCTTCTGTGAGACCGAACCTTGTTCACCAGTGTCAACAGGCTGTAAGGTGGGTTATGCATGGCCTCTCTGTCTCTGTCTCTGTCTGTCTGTCTGTCTGTCTCTCTCTCTCTCTGTCTCTCTCTCTCTCTCTCTCTCTCTCTCTCTCTCTCTCTCTCTCTCTCTCTCTCTCTCTC